GAACCCTGGGACCCTACAGGGGGTACTGCTCCAATGTGGACCCACGAGTGGCCAATGTCTTCACCCTGGCCTTCCGCTTTGGCCACACCATGCTCCAGCCCTTCATGTTCCGCTTGGACAGACAGTACCGGGCCTCTGCACCCAACTCGCACGTCCCACTTAGCTCTGCCTTCTTTGCCGGCTGGCGGATCGTGTATGAAGGTGACCAGGTTTTCCAGGGGAAGGGTGGGGAGCATGCCCTCCCCTAGGTGGGACAAGCTTACTGCCAGGAAGCCAGACTGCTGCAGAGGCCACTGCTAAAATCTCCCCAGGACAGTGGAAACAAGGCAGGTGCCAGCAAGACCCTCAGTCACAGGCCTCCCATCCTCTGTGGAATGAGAGGATTTTTTAAAGGGGTGGAGGCTAATGTCAGATTGATGGGGAGCTCACCTTCCACTCAAGAAGTGTCTCCCAGCTCCAGCTGCTTCCTGCCTCTCCAGAGCTCTGTTTCCTGACAAACATTACTGAACATACCCAGCTGGCTTGTCCAGCTCCGGGCTAGTTTGGCATCATGTGATGACCCAAGTAGCTTCCCAGAGGCTGGTCCAATCTGTGCTGCTCACATTCCCTGCCACCAGGTGGCATCGACCCCATCCTCCGGGGACTCATGGCCACCCCTGCCAAGCTGAACCGTCAGGATGCCATGTTAGTGGATGAACTCCGGGACCGGCTGTTTCGGCAAGTGAGGAGGATCGGGCTGGACCTGGCAGCTCTCAACATGCAACGAAGCCGGGACCATGGCCTTCCAGGTGAGGGCGCTGTCCGCCTCTTCTCCCAGCTTTGCTCAGGCCAGGCTGCTCAAGGGGTCTGGGAGGACCCTAGTACCTCCCTTCTGACTGGGACTATCTACAGGATGTACAGGGGTGCAAAGCCATGCAAGGCCAAGGTTGATTTCCCAAAGCACCCCTGGAACACCGCTTGTTGTCCTGCCATGGTTCCCCATCCACTGTAGGGGCTCCAGCTTTAGGTCCACCACAGGACCAGGACTCAGGCCCAGGAGCTGAAAAAGGGAGGCTTGAACTTTCCAAGTAGAAAAAAACGCAATAGGCTTCAAAGGCAGGGAAGAACTGCTCCATTCCCAACACTCCGGCAAGTTCCAAGGAGGAAGGCTAAAATTTCGGAGCTACAGAAACGTTCCTTGCTCTAAGTGGAGAAAGGCAAAGAGTCTTAGAGGCAGGGAATAGGTGGAATAAAACTAAGGCTGCAGTGACTGTTTGGTGAGGGCACAAATGACTTTATCCCAGGAAAGAAGAAAATGTAGGCACTTTGTTAGTCACTTTCATGTACATTAATTTGTTTTCCCAATCACCTGGAGAAGCAATGATTACAGTCATTTTATAGATGAGGAACTATGTTCAGAGACAGCTAGTAACTTGCCCAAGGTCACATAAATAAGAAGTAGTAAAATCTGAATTTAAATTTACAATTTCTCCTTTCTTCCCCCTGTTCAACCCCAGTAGGGGAAGGCTTTGGCCACTGCCTTGCTCCTCTCTCCTTCCCACCTCCTACCTCCCTGTCTAGAAAGAACCTGAAGGCCCATGTGCCCATGTGTGAAGCAGTGGTGGCACCTCCTACTGCCCACCCCACTTCACACGGCGTCTGGTAGAGCACAGCAGGCACTCGAGAAACCTGAGCTTCTTTCCTTCCTTAAACTTGGGTGCTCTTGGCAGCTAAGGAGCTGTGGGCGCTCCCTGCTGGAGAGCTGAGATCGCTAGCCACCCAAGTTTCCACACTGCGAGTTTCTGCTCCCCGCAATAGCTGTGCCCTCCAGAAATATTATCCTGACACTAGCTCTTACAATCTCCTCTAATCCCTTCCCAAGTCCAACATCAAACTGGGAACTGGACAACCTGGTTTGAGCTCCACTGAACAGTAAAGTGACCCTGAAGTCCATGGTTGCTCAACTTTAGTAAACATAGTAGATATAGTTAGCATGCCATAAAAGTACCTCACAAAGGTGCTGTGAGGGTCCTGAGATATTCACCCAACAGTGCTCAGTATGGTAAAACCCTGTGTGGTTTTCATGTGTTCCGCTGGGGGATGGTGTGTGTGAGTTGTGGTTCAATGGATGATGTTGGGCTGGTGTCCCTTTGGGACGTGGCCAAGCTATCTCCTACCTTGATTGTCACATCTTATGATGTGGCTTGGTCCTGTGTGGGATCCTGATGGCTGACAAATTGGTACGGCTGGTCTTTGGAAGTTTCTGAAAACTTTTTAAAAACTGCTTTATTGAGATACACCATAAAATTCACCCATATGAAATGGACAATTCAATGATTTTACTGTATTTAGAGTTATGCAGCCATCACCATGATCTAATATCACATCATTTCCACCACTCCCCAAAGAAACCTTGTAAGAACAGTCAATCCCCATCCCGACCCCAGCCCCTATCACCTCTTAATTTACTTTGTGTCTCTATATTGGCCTATGCAGGACCTCTCATATCAAAGGAATCATAGTGTGCCATCCTTTTCTGAGTAGATGAATTTTATCCACGCTCTCCATTTGTTGGTTTGTTCATTCATTTATTCTTTCACTCATTCATTCATTCTACAAACCTGATGGAGAGTCTTTTATGTTCTGGGTACCGTCTTACTTGTGTCTAATGAATGCACTTGAGCCCAGTAATAATATCATTAAGTGTTGGATTTGTGGTTATGTGTTTTGGGTTAAAATGGCTTTTTAGGTTAGGACACACTCCTTAGTCTGATGCACACTGAGCACGGTTGTCCACTCACATTTTCAATCAGAGGACAGAAACCTGGTCTTTGGAAGGTTTAGGGCCTCTTCTACCAGCAGGATCTTCTGGGTCTGCCCAATATTGACTGGCCACAGCTTCCTCCCAGAGGACTGGTGGAGAGAAGCAGAAGCTAATGGGAAGTCAGCAACACTGAAGTTGCTTCTCCCCGTTCCCCTGCAGGGTACAATGCTTGGAGGCGCTTCTGTGGGCTCTCCCAGCCCCGGAATTTGGCACAGCTTAGCCGGGTGCTGAAAAACCAGGACTTGGCAAGGAAGTTCCTGAATCTGTATGGAACACCTGACAACATTGACATCTGGATTGGGGCCATCGCTGAGCCTCTTTTGCCGGGGGCTCGAGTGGGGCCTCTTCTGGCTTGTCTGTTCGAGAACCAGTTCAGAAGAGCCCGAGACGGAGACAGGTAAGTGACCCTATCATAAAAGACATTAGCACCAGAGGCAGAGCGGAAAAACACTAGCATTTCAAGACTAAACATTGAAGATCACTGCTCTTTTTAATATCATTTCTTCCAAGTTCACAGGATCTGAAATCAGGAGGCTCTTCTCTGGAAAGCTGGGTTAAAGGAAGAGAGACACTGACCCAGGCAAGGCCCACATTGCCTGAGCCGGAGTCATCTTAAACCCAGGAGGTAGCCTGGCAGCCTCGCTGTTCTGGGTTGGTAGATCCCAGAAAACATGAGCAGAAAGGGCGAAATCTGGTTTCCCTCCAATAAGTTTGTGATTTAAGACCTGACTCCTTATTTGGAGTTGGTATTGCCTGAGTTCAAATCCAGCCCTGGCCACTTAAATTACTGGGCACTGAATACTGGGCAATTTATTTGGCCACTGAATTTGTTTCATTTCTAAGATTCCAATCTTGCAGGAATTTTGTGAGAACTGAATGGAATAATATATGTAAAGTGCCTGGCACACAACAGGTGCTCATGACAAGGTAATTCCTCCCCAACCTTCACCCACATCTCTTGACTGCCTGGTAGGTTCTGGTGGCAGAAACGAGGGGTTTTCACCAAAAGACAGCGCAAGGCCCTGAGCAGAATTTCCTTGTCTCGAATTATATGTGACAATACCGGTATCACCATGGTTTCAAGGGACATCTTCAGAGCCAACATCTATCCCCGGGGCTTTGTGAGCTGCAGCCGTATCCCCAGGTTGAACCTGTCAGCCTGGCGGGGGAAATGAGGCTTCTGCAGGTAAGGGGAGGCTACCTCCAGCACCCTGGGCTGGGTTAGGCCCTCATATCCTTCCCTGGATGGATGGCTGAGTCCTCTTAGGTCTCTAAGCAGAGAAAACAGAACTTGTCATGAGGGATACAGTACTCTTTCCAAGTGGCTTCCCAATGTACTAGCTTCTGGACTGACAGTCAATCCCAGGCCCTAGGACTTTGGCGAGGAAATTAGGAGCATCCAACTATCCTCAGTTTGGTCACTAATACCCCAAAACAGCTCCATTTCTAAATTGTCCAGTAAATTCCTCACTTATCCATTCTGTTACTTCCACAGGAGTCTATCCCAAGCCTCCAACTTTTGGAGACAAGGAGAAGGGGAGGGCCATAAAGCTGCCTTGTCCCCCTGGAGCAACTGCCGCCTGCTGACGCTTCTGCTGGCTACAGCTCAGAGCTGGGTTCCCCAGCCGGGAGTGAGAGCTGGGGGCTCCTAGCAGCAATGGACCTTCCCGCCGTGGGAGTCTCTTAGGTATTAGGTTATGAATCAGTGCCATGTGCAAAGGCTTGGGAGCCAAGCTATGTGGTCTTGCACCCCAGGCAAGAAAAGTCAGCTGGAGGGTTTACAGCACTTTCTACTGCTTCCCAGCCCTCCCTCCCCTCCCTCACCATGACTGAGAGACCACTCAGTCCTAGCCTGCAGAGACCCCACAGTCCTCCTCTGAGCCTGAGGCTGGGCAGCATGCTCTGCTTCTACCAATAAAGCACTGCTAAGGGCAGGGGCTGCTGTTTCTGTGTGGGGCTAGGGAGGACGTGGCCTCAGTTCCATGCTTTGCTCCAGGTGTTGCAGAGAAGTGCTGCTAACACGCATGCTGGCACAACCATCTAAGCCTCTCCTGGGGGCTGAATTAGGAGAGCCCAAAGAAACACTGTGGAGCAGGGAAAGGCAGAAAAGGGGAAGGGCAGATATGGGAGGGCCCTGACATTAAGAAGAATACCCCAGCCATACCAGCAACCTGAGCAGACAAACAGCCAACGGAACATCAGTCAAAATAAAAGGGGTTTATGGAAAAAAGCCCAAAAAACAAAAAGAACACAGTAAAAGATACCAACCAGCTAGCAGAAAGGACTCGGCACTGCCTTCAACCTTCACCTACTCAGAAATAACTCATATCTCAACCTCAGCAAGCCCCAAGGAGTAGAATGAGGCTGCCCTGGAAAGAGGAGGCTGAGACTCACAGGCTGGGGATTTAAGACCCCTCTCACCGTCCACCTTCCTTCCTTCTTTGGTCTTGCAAGAAGGAAGGCTCCATTTTTAAAGGCTGGAGAACAGCAGATCCCTGCATCCCCCTGCTACTGTGAGACAAGCCAGAAAAGTGAGTTAAGGCCACACTCACTATGGGGTCACCCCAAACAGCTTCAGACCAAAAAGCCTGCCTTGCTGTGATGCCCATTTACAGTGACTGCAAACATGAAGGGGGGGCCACAGGGTCTCTGGCTTTATTTCCCCAGGGTAGGGAGAAGACCCTGCAGAAGGCTAGGCAGAGGGGCCAGCTGGGAATTTCCCAGCTCTTCCGGTTCTCAGCAGACCAGCGTGGTCTCTAATCAGACAGACGAAGAGGCAGGAGAGCACTGGCCTCAAACATCCCCCATCTTGTCCTCTTGCACTGTGGCCCAGGGCTGCTGTGAGCTAGGAGACCAGGGTTCCAGAGGGGCTCACTAGGTCCTGCGGGAGGCTTTCCCGGGCCTCCTGCATGCGGCGCCGGGCTCGACGGAAGGCCTCTGTAAGGAAAGGAGATATGGTATTTGGCTGCCAAACAGGCCCATGCTGACCCGGGGTGGCCAGCTTGGGGAGGGGACATACATACCCAGCACATTGTGAATGGAACTCTGCTGGCTAAACCCTTCCAGACGGTCCAACACACTCCGCATCCTTTTCCGAAGGGAGCTCGATTCCATGAAGGCCCTGCAGGGAAGCCAGCCACATGGTTACGGCTGTTCTCCACCCCTCAGGGATAAGGTGCCCCGAGGCAGAGGGCCAGGTCCCTCACCTGGACTGCTGCAGACAGTGCAAGCGGAAGGTGACGGTGCCTGTGGTCTCTGTGCGGAGTCCAAAGCGGCTCAGGCGTTCCCCCTGCGGCATGCCATTGGGAGAGCATCAGGTTTCCGCCGTCTCTAGACACCCCCGCAGTATGCTGGCCTCGCCCCTGTTCTTATTCCCATTCTTAGAAAGCGCAGTTCTGTTGGGGAAACCTTATTCCATCACGCAGACTCTATTACCTCAAGGCTAATACTGGACTACTGGGCTCCCCCAACTACACCAGGGAACATTCCAACCTCATCTGAGAGGCAGCGGTCTTACACGTTTACTGTGAATCCTTCCCACATCTGATTACTGAGGCCTTCAGTGACGGGGGAAAGAAAGAGCCCGTTATTCTGATGGGGACCAAGGGAAATCGCTAACTATACTATTTTCCAGAGACCTCCTACGATAGCAGTGTAGATATTGGAACCTGGTTCAAAATGTGGTCCTGACTTCCAGCTTAAGCCATAGGAAGGAAGCGGCTAATATTGAAGCAATGCACAACTAAGGGGTGTTGACCCAGATCCCACCTCCTACAGAACAGAAGGACAGGACCATCAGTTCCCAGCATGAAGTCGCTCCAAAGACAAAAGTCACCTTGAAGGATCCTGGTATCCGCACATAGGAGAGGTCCTCCAGTTCCAGAGAACCGCCAATGAAAAACCTCCTGAGCTCAGCCACCATGCCAAGCTCCACAGGTCTCCATGTGGAGACTGTCAGGGTGTGTGAGCCTGTGCAAGGGAAGAGGAGACTGGGGCCGGGTCCAGGAAGGGCATGTGGCCCCTCACTGACTCCCCAGCAATGACACAGGCCTAGACTTCGCTAAAACACCTGGTCTGGTGATGATCTGGCCTCTGGTGAAGGTTATCATGGTTACCCATAGCAGCTGTTTGGAAGTCAATCAGGGAGAAATTCAAATTTCTGCTCTGCCAGTTATTCCCTGCATCCCCAGGACAGGTTTCTTAACCTCTCTGAAGTTCATTCTCCTCATCCAGTAAAATGGAAATAATACCACCTGCACCTCACAGAGTGGCTGGGAGAATTAAGTGAGAAGTATGGCACAATGCCTGGCACACAGTAGAAGACAGGTGCTTTTATTCCAAACTGAATGCTGCTTCATTCAATACACACATGCTATGAGCCGATTTTGCCATACAGCTTCTCACCCTGAGTCCAATCAGAGGAGCACGAAGCACATGGCAAGACTGTCAGGAAGTCAGCGCCAAGGCCACGCTATTGTCTCTAGTGGAGTTGGGCAGACAGTCCTCAGAGGAACAGGAACTCTTTCAAGCCAAATGCTTCCAATTCCCAGCTATCCCCACCCCTCACCAGAAGCATTCGAGTGTTAGTCTTGCTCGTAGGGCCTAGGGCATGTGAGCCACAGAAGGGCGGGGACAAGCAGTTACCTGGAGTGGCAGGCAGCACCACAGCCCCATAGCCTTCCACACGGTACCTCTGCCAGAAGTCCAGCGAGAGGACCTCACAGTAGAGCACAGGCCACTCCGGGAGTGCATCTGGGAGAAACGAGAGAAGCGGCCAGGTCACAGGCGGGCCTTCACCAAGACAGCACTGCTTGAGGGGAACCAAGGCCCAGGATCAACTGCTGAGCTACTCACCAGAAGATTCATCCTCATGGAGGAAGAAGGCTTCAAACGTGAATGGGTAGGAGAAGTGAGCCACCTTGTCCTATAAAAAGGAGTGTCATAGGGTGGGCAAGCCCTCCCTTGGAATTTGTTCTCCTTGTGGCCAATGACAAGGTTATCTTCACAAGGGAAAAAGAAAAATTATCACCCAGGTGGGAAATTGGAGTCTGAGATGCAAAGGGACACCCAAAGACAAGCTGCTGCCATGCTCAAAAAGGCAGAGAGGACCTCCGGGCCAGGTAGCCCTGCAGAACCCACATACAAGTCACCCAACTCAGAATCCTCCCCAGGGTGCACAGCACTTGGCCTGACAAAACCTCAAATGCCATCCCAGGAGCAGATCTCATTCCCTTCCAGATACCCGCTCTCATTCTCCATACCACTCCCAGGGACTTGGTGGTGCATGTCTGTGTTACTCCTGAGAGCTGCTGGAATGCTGGGCTTGACCAGTCTGAAAGCCAAAGAACAAATATAGTAAGCTCACCTGGGAGGAAAGCAAGTCGTTCAGAAAAAGACAAAGTTTCTTTATTCATTTATTCACACAATCTATCATTCATTTATCATTTACTGAGTGCCTGCTATGTGCTAGTATATCTTAGGGGTATCTTGGTAACTAGATAGAAAAGATCCCCATCTCTCATGGAGCTGACATTCTGGGGGAAGCAGGGAGACAAAAAACAAACCAACAAGAGACTATTGGGTAGTGATGAGTGCTCTATTCAAACAAAACGGGAAGGGACTGAGTGACTGGGAGGCTCATTTAGACCGGGTGGTAAGAGAAGGCCTTTCAGAAGCGACACAGGCTGAGACCTAAACTCAGAAAGAACCAGCCATGCTAAGATATGGCAGAAAGGGTTTCAGACAAAGGAAATGGCCCTTAAAAGGTTCTAAGGGGAGAATGAACCTGGCTGGGAAGAATGACTGAAATGTTGTACGGAAGAGATAGGCAGAGGCTCATTCAGGGTATTGAGTTTACATTTTATTCTAAGTGGGAGGGGAAGCTCTTGGGGGTTTTCAGCTGAAAAGGGACATAATTTGTTTACATTTTTTAAAACTCAACTTGGCTTTGGTGTCTGTGGCAAATGAACTGCAAATGGGAGCAAGGCAGGAAGCAGGGGGATAAGTCAGAAGTTGAATGCATTGGCCTAGACAAGAGACGGTGGTGGCTTGGTGTAGGGTGCTGGAGAGAACAGACAGGTTCACAACAGCTTTCGAAGACAGAACGCACAGGAACTGTTGACAGATTGGCTGGCTATAGGGAGCTAGGGAAAGTGAGGGATCAAGGATGTCCCCTAGGTTTTTGGCATCAGCAACTCAGATACTGCCATTCTGTTAGGATGGGGAATACCAGGGAGGAGAGGTTTGAGGGACGAGGAGGAATCCAGAGTTCTCTTTGATCATGTTAGACAGAAATGACAAACAGGTAACTGGATACGAGTCTGGCGTCCAGGGGAAAGGTTAAGGCTGGAGGCAGAAACCTGGGAGTCTGAGACACATCGACGGTATTTAAGCCATGGGATGGATGAGGTCACCCGGGAAGACTGCAGACAGAGAGTAACAGAAGGCCTTGGCTTAGCCATGGGTACTCTCACGGTGTAAGATCAGCAGAAGAGAAGGCATTACCCAAGGAAGGTGAGGGGCCACCAGTGAGACAGGAGAGAGAATGTGGAGCCAGAAGCCAGAGAAGTGTGTCATGCAGCACAGTGGGCTCTGGCAAATGCTTCAGGAAGGTCAAGCGAGGTGAAAGCAGGAAAGTTCCCACTGGGTTTGGCAAAGTGGATGTGATCTACAACCTTGAAAAGAACAGTAACAGTTTCAGCAGAGGAGTGGGAAAGGAAGCCTGACCAAATGCCTCTACATCTGTCTGAATGGGTATAAAAGAGAGACTTAAGAATATTACTTACGAGTAGTTGGCAATTCCACAAAGAAGTGGACGTAGAGATTGTCATACTCATAGCCTTGGGCTGAAACTAAGAGAGAAAACAGGAAGCTATTTTAGCTTTTTATCCTACTACCCTTAGCACCCAACCCAGTCCTGAGGGTCCAACACACCCTGAGAGCAAGTCTTTTGAGGGCCAGGAACCCTCTGCATTTCCAGGAAAGACTCACCACTGAGTTTCCCAAGTACAGCAGACAAGGCCTCTACCAGGGTGGAGGAGACTATTCACAGCTACATCCAGGCACGTGCCTTAGCATCAAGAGATCTATGCTAGCAAGACACTTACCTACCTCTCCATTTACAAAGAGCCGGAGGGCACCTGGGACAGTCTAAGGTGAAGAGAAGTGGGAAAGGATCAGCAGGCCTGAAGGGAATTGGCACTTCTCCTCCAGCCCCATCTACAAATCTGCAGACAACCTGACACTGGGGGTCAGACCCTGGGTGTCGCTACTGCACTTTCTCCCCACCCTGACACTTCTCCACAGATCTGTTTCCTTCATTCCTAAGATACATAATGTAAGGGGAAAGTACATGATTTAAATGGCAGTAAGGACAATGCACTATGGGAAATTAGCCAAGCAACAGCAACTGCCCTGTGGTGTGCAATAGGAAGCCAGAATGCCCGGTTCCCTTTACACAGCTGAGGTCAAGAAACCAGAGAGTTTCCTTTTTTAATTATTTGTGCATCTGTCTTATCTAACTTTTAAATACTGCATATCTGTTGCTTATGCAATATGGAAACAGTGAAGGTTAATTTTTCAGAGAAAGAGAGGGAGACCAGTAATTCTATCCTTGTTTCCAGGTCTAGCGATGGAACACTTAGAACGAGAAAAGACAAAGAACAGCACGACAGAATAGCTGAACTAAACCACTTTCTTTTTTTTTTCAGACAGGGTCTTGATCTGTTGTCCAGGCTGGAATGCAGTAGTGTGATCATAGCTCAGTGCAAACTCAAACTTCTGGGCTCAAGCAATCCTGCTGCCTCAGCATCATGCATAGCTGGGACTACAGGCATGTATCACCATGCCTTGCTAATTTTTTTTCTTTTTTAATTTTTGTAGGGATGTGGTCTCACTATGTTGCCCAGGCTGGTCTCAAACTCCTGGCCTCAAGTGATCCTCCCACCTTGGTCTCACAAAGTGCTGGGATTATAGTCATGAGCCACCACGTCGGGCCTATATTTTTTAAGAGCCAAAATATGTGACAAACAGAAATGGCACCCCTGCCCCTCTATGGGGTATTTTGAAAAAATATCCACATGAAAGGTGAAGAAGACATTTTTCATCCTTATATTTATTTTCTAAATTAATTATAAAGTAATACATAAATACATTACCACTGATAAAAATTCAAAACTACCTGAGCTTAGGCAATAAAAAGCAAAAATCCCTGATATATCCCTCTCACTACCCACTACCCATCTACCACATCTAATCCCACCCTCCCCAAAAAAGCCACCCACAGCATATGCGTAGCCTTTCAGGCCTTTTTCTCGGCATTAACAGTTCTCTATCAACATGCAATGTTGCAAAACACATAACAAGGACTATATGTGCTATTCTTTGACTTCCTTTTCACACCGTAGAGTATACCTTGGAGGCCTTTAAGAGAAGTGCTGTAACTCATCCACAGTCAGAATGCTCCGGCTAAACACAACTCACAGTGCTGCAGGAAGCCAAGCTACTCACCATCTCAAAGTCAGTGCCTACGAGACTGCTGAGATACTCCTTGTGCCGGCCATAAAGCTGAGGAAACAAACCAAACCAAAACTCAAGATGCAACCCAAGCTAGACCAAAGTTCAGTTCTGAACGGGAAGAAGAAGAAAAGCAATAGTGGGAAGGATCATCAAGAGCTGGAGGCACAAGCCCCTGACCCACCTCCATTTTACTGTGAAGCAGAGGCCCTGGAGTCAGCTGGTCTGGGGCAGAATCCTGACTCTCGCGCTTACAAGCTATGTAACCTTGGGCAGACTACTTAGCTCCTCAATCTCGGTTTCCCCACTTATAAGGTAGTAATAAGAAAAGTGTTCACCTCAAAGGGTTGTTGTAAGGACTAAAGGAAATAAGGTATGTAAAGTACCTAGCACAGAACATGGTAAATGCTCAAATAAATGGTTATTGTTATTATTATAATATGATCAAAAACTTCTGATATGTCAGCAATGCTGCCTAAGTCAGAAGGGACTATGAAGGGCAAGGCTTTTCCCAAGCAACTACTGACATCAAGTCCAGAAACGGTCTCAGCTCCAGGCACTGAGGCTCATCCCTTCCATACTTGGAATGAACTCGCACTCACATCCTTGAACACACGCCGTTCCCGCTCCTCCTCCTCTGGCTGTGCGAGTGGGGAAACATTGTCGATCGTATATTTCCACAGCTCCTGCTTCTCTCCCTCCGTCTCGATCCTGTAAGGTCAAAGCCACAGAAAGGAGCGACTCTAATAATGAGAGATGGGCCTGGGGATAGCTCCCAGCCCAGGGAAAAGCGATCAGGGGCCATACACCTCACTTGAAGTATATGATGATAAAAATGGCTGTATTGATGATCGGGAAAGAGAAACAAAAGGATAAAGCAGTGAGGGCACCAGACTAGACTCAGACAGTATAGGTTCTGGGCCCATTTCTGGCCTGAAGTTATAGTCAAACCGTAAGGCACAACATTCCTGCCACCCAGTTCTTTCACCTGAAAAATGGACAGGTTGGTCCAGATAATTTCTAATTTATACTTCTGTCATTTTCAAGATACAGAGATGAGGAACAGTGAGCCCACAGGAAAAGCCTGGCTGAGTTCACCCCACTCTGTTCTGGTCAGGTCCTACATTCAGCAGCACGGAGAATCACTGTCACTTAAATGTATCACTGAAGTGATCCCTTTCAAATTGGTGCAGTTGCATATTTTCTGAGAAAGGAGTTCCCGGTTTCCTAAGGCCCATGACTTGGAACAGAATACGAACTATTGCCTGGGAATGTAAAAGTTAGAATGGATGAAGGACTTTCTGACAGTCTAGTTGACTAGGGACAAGAAGTGCAACCAAGGGAAGGAATGTCAGTCTCCACTACCCCTTTCTTCCTCTCCTTACCTGTAGGGTCCTTTGAGGCCCGTGAAGTCAGGCTTTACTGTGATCACACCATTGCTATCCACCTTCAGAGTACACAGGACATGTTCATACTTCTTATAGCCAAGCCTAGAAATCAGGAAAACACCAAGGTTGAGGTCAGTGGTCCTCCAGGGAAAGAGGAAGAGACACTGAGCCCACTTCAGGGGAGAGAACAGAGGCTATAGGGAGAGCTGTCATGGTAAAACTTTCTTCCACGTACAACTAAGAAAAAAAGGAAGAAAAAGTCCTCCCTCTTCTTTAATACAGGATGATAAGAGGAAGGGGATAGCTGGTGAGAGGAGAAGAGGATGAGGATCTGAGGTGGCAGCGAGAAGTTTCACTCGCAACTAAGAACAAAACGAAGAAAAAGTCCCTCCCTCCCCTATAACCCAGGATGATAATAACAGGAAGGGGAGAGCTGGTGAGAGGAGAAAAGGATGAGGCTCTAAGCTGGCAGTGAGAAGCGCCACTCACTTTTTATAGGGCCCCAGGTCTGCCATGATGTGCATTGTCTGAAGAGGGGTGTTAATGACGTGGTTGTTCCTGACGAACTCTTCTGAGGGCTCCCAGGTGACAAGGCGTGACTTGAGGATGCCGCCCTCCCTGGGAGACACCGCAAAAAGGTCACTTCCTTGGCACACCCCAATGGAGCACACCCCAGTGGAGAGCCATGGCAGAATGGGAAGTTTCAGCTGGTGGACAAACTGCTTTGTTTTGTTTTTTAAGAGTCAAAATATTTGACAAACAGAAATGACATCCCTTCCCTCTCTCTGAGGCACTTTGGAAAAATGTCCACATGAAGAGTGAGGAAGACATTTTATATTTTTATTTATTTTTATTTATTTATTTATTTTGAGATGGAGTTTTGCTCTTTTTGCCCAGCCTGGAGTGCAGTGACGCGATCTCGGCTCACCGCAACCTCCGCCTCCTGGGTTCAAGCGATTCTCCTGCCTCAGCCTCCCGAGTGGCTGGGATTACAGGCGTGCGCCACCACGCCTGGCTAATTTTGTATTTTTAGTAGAGATGGGGTTTCTCCATGTTGGTCAGGCTGGTATTGAACTCCCGACCTCAGGTGATCCACCCGCCTCGGCCTCCCAAAGTGCTGGGATTACAGGTGTGAGCCATTGCACCCGAGCATATTTATTTTTTAAATTAATCATAAAGTAATACTTGAATACTATATATAACCACTGATAAAAATGCAAAACTACGCAACTTTAGGAAATAAAAAATAAAAGCTTGCCCCCCATCCCATGCCCGCACTCACATCCCTCGTCTGTCCTGCCGGCGCCGCCTGACGTTTGCCATTCGCTCAACCAAGAATGAAGGCACCTCGCTGGCTGCAGTGGTCATTCTCTGACAGTGCTGGGAAAAGCAAGTAGCCCTGCGTAAGCCATCTGGTCAGGGCCACATGGGGCCAAGTACCTGAAGGGAAGTCTTCCTTCTGAAACCTCATCCAGGACCTGAACCCTGCAGGTTCCACCACCTCACAATTATACATGCTAACGGAGGAAGCAGTGGCCAAACAACCCAAAGAAGATTTCTACCACATCGTGGAGTGCCTTTGGATTTTAAAAATGAGTTATTTATGTTAATATTAAAATCAGTCTGCATTCTCTGAGCACAGACCAACAAACCGTTGGGTTAGTTTGCTTGGTGGATGTTGAAGTTAAACAAGGTGGTTAGAAAATGCCAAATGGGATACAAGTATTTTGTGGGAAATCCTCACATGGTAACTGAGCACCAACTGCATTTTCATCTGCTTTTCCAAAACAGACAACCCAAAGTTAAGTTAATTGATATTATTTTTTAAAGAGACAGTGTCTCACCCAGGCTGCAGTGTGCAGTGCTGCTATCATAGCTCACTGCAACCTTCAACTCCTGGGCTCAAGTGATCCTCCCACCTCAGCTTCCCAAGGAGCCAGGACTACAGGTACATGCCACCGTGACCAGCTAATGTTATCAATCCACAGCTCTGTTAATGAAAGCATGTCAATCTTTCAAAAACATTTATTGAATACCTGTTCCTTGCAGAGACCTACAGAGTCATAGACAAAAATAAAAAAAATATAGGCTGTACCCTCAAGGAGTTTAAAATCTTACTGAGAAGACAGAAGCAACTGAAATGCAGTGATTGAAGAAAATGCAAAACAAGGTCACAAGGGTATTTTTGTCATTGGCAAATTGAGGACATAAGTCATTTTCCACAGCTATACTGAACTCTTCTTCAAACCCATATACTCAGAGTTTGGGCCAAATCCCCTGATGAATTTTATCTAGATTGTTCCAGACTCCACCACCTGTCTTTTTTCATGATGCATGGAGGAAGTCAAGCCCAATGGTTACTTCTCCCAGTATGCACTCTGCAAGTGTATAATCAGAGAACTGGCAGCTCCTCCAGGCCCTCCAGCAGGCAGAGAAGGGTGCAGCAGCCTCACCACCTGTAGACTGTGCCCATTCTATTGCAGGCTGGCTGCCAGCAGCAGCAGCTCACAGCGGTTCCTAGACAGGCTACCTGTCTCCCCTTACTAGGCTTCTGACATAACACAAGAATCCAGTGAGGCAAAAAAGCTAGAGGAAGCAAAGAGGGAAGCTATGAGACCCTGGAAAGAACAATACCTCCTCCAAATTGGTGTATCTATCAGAGTCAGTGTAGGTAAAGATTCGTCGGTTCTTCTTGCCACCTGAATTCTCCAGCTTCAGGATCTCCTGACGGTACTGATAATCCAAAGGACTCTGACAGGCTGCTTCATTTTGGTACAGATCTACTTCAAACTGAGGTTACCGTAAGGAAACAGAGATGTGTACATCATTATAATACAGCAAACTTTTGCTTCTGTAACTATTTAATCAAATCAGTTCTACAGAGCTGATGCTATCTGACACGTTTTCATAACCAACACTAAATTAATGGATGGCAGGGGAACCAAGAACATTAGCCCTAAAAGGAACCAGACTGATAGTCTAATCCAAATCTGTGATTACAGATGGCATATAGCCCAGAGATGAAAAGTGCCTCACCCAGAATCATAAAACTGAGTAGTGGCAATCCCTGTTACACTGCCCTTTAAACACAACAGGGCGAAGTATAAACCATTACAACCTGTCTGGAAATCACTTTGGCAATATGTATCACCAGTCATGTGGAGGCAGACCAGGTGGAACAGATAGAGCAGACAAAAGACACTGGCTCACCTGGCTAAAGAGCTTCTCCTGCCACCCAATCACAATCTCCTCCTTTTCGTCTTCCTCTGGGCGGTGTCCACCTCCAAAGACAACAGAGTGAGTCAAATGCTTGAGCCGAACCAGCACCACTTCTTGCTCTGTGGTTGATTATAACCAGAGTTCCTATTCTTATATTTGCCACAAAAACCAGCTGGAATTCAGCAATTTATTAAGCACTCAACCTAGAGAAATGCTAGAGAGGCTGTATATAAGAGTTAGTATGAGTAGAAGCCAAGATTAGAACCCAAGAAGTCTTAATCACTACTCTAATTTGAGTAAAAGAAAATACCCTCCAGGAATTTTTTTGGGGGTGGGGGGGATGGAGTCTCACTCTGTCACCCAGGCTGGAGTGCAGTGGCACTGTTTCAGCTCACTGCAACCTCCGTCTCCTGGGTTTAACGATTCTCCTGCCTCAGCTTCCCAAGTAGCTGGGATTACAGGCACACGCCACCAACCTGGCAAATTTTTGTATTTTCAGTAGAGATGGGGTTTTGCCATGTTAGCCAGGCTGATCTTGAACTCCTGACTTCAGGTGATCCACCTGCCCTGGCCGCCCAGAGTGCTGGGATTACAGGTGTGGGCCACCGCGCCCAGCCTCCTCCAGGAAATATCTAATCTAACTGGATATAAGAAACTGAAATTTAGGGG